TACGACGCCGGCGACTTGCCCATCGCGACAAACCACTGCGGGCAGTAGGAAGCCATCCAGATCGTGTCGCCCGCTTGGACGGGATACCATTTCTCGCCGAGGCGATAGACGCCCTGCCCTGCCCTCATGAAGAGCCCGTGCTCCATGACGTGCGTCTCGACGAACGGCAGTGCGGCGCCGGGTTTGAAGTTGAAGACATTCACCGCCATATCGAACTCGGGCTCGATCGGCAGCAGCGTCGAGAGCATCGCGTCGGGGTCGCCGAGGAACGGCTCCGTCGGCGCATCGGCAAGCGATCCGGTGCGCCGAGTTGGCGGCTCGATGCCTTCGACTGGCTCGTAAGGCTTCTCGAACACTAGAAGCTTCGCTCCGGCTGGGGCGGTGAATTGGTACTCGTCGTCCGCAGGAAAGTAGACGAAGTCGTCAGTAGCGAGCGTATCGCCGTCGAGTGTCGCCGTCCCCGCCAAGACGTAAACAAGCCGCTGCAAGCCGAAGGCGGCGCAGTGGGTTTCACTACCTTCGCCCCCTTCGACGAGGTACTGGCAGAACCGCGGCCCGCCGGCGCCGTTCATCACGGGGCTGATGAGGAGGTAACCCCGTGCCGAACCCCATCCCGGCGGCAGCCCCGGCACGTGACCGTCCGGGGCGATCAGGGCGTGGTTCCACTCGACACGGGTGCGGGTCTCGCCGAAGGGGCCGCTCATAGGCTGTTTTCTCAAGACTTGTCGCTAGTTTGGACTGCTAGTTTGTGAACGAAACGCGTCAACACATCGATCGCCACCGCAACGTCGTCGCGCTCGACGCGTTCGTCGGGGTGATGGCTGACGCCACCCGGATGACGAATGAACATCATCGCGACGGGGAATCGCTGAGCCATGATCACGGCGTCGTGCCCAGCGCCGCTGGGTAGGCATAGCGGCTGAAAGCCGACGTCGCTGATCGCGTCCGCCAACGCAAGCGTTAGCGGCTGATCGACCTCGACGGCGCCCTGGGCCGACTTCTCGATGACCTCGAAGAGGCACTGCTCGACTTCGGCGATGCGGCGCCCGGCGATGATCAGTTGATCGACGGCGCGCTCGCGGACATCGTCGCGGGCGTGCCGTACGTCGAGCGAGAACTCGACGCGCTCGGGGATAACGTTCGGCGCGCCAGGGAAGACGGCGAAGTGCCCTACCGTCGCCCGCAGACCGTCGGTGTCGATCCCCATCTCACGCACCTTCGTGACGAACTGCGCGGCGGCGACGAGCGCGTCGCGCCTCCCCGCCATCGGTGTCGTGCCCGCATGGCCCGCTTCGCCGACCACTCGTAGCCGCAAGCGGCTCTGCCCCACGATGCCCGACACAACGCCAACCGGCTCGCGGGCGCGTTCGAGGACGGGGCCCTGTTCGAGGTGCGGCTCAACGTAGCCGATCACCTCGTCGGCGTCGTACGCGCAGTCGTCGATGTGCGACGGGTCGGCGCCGTAAGTGGCGATCGCTTCGCGGAGCGTCACACCGGTCGAATCGACACGCCCGAGCCAGNNGCGACCGCGGCGCTACCAAGGTACGGCTTGCTGTAACGGACGCCCTCTTCTTCACTGAATCCGATCACATCAACGTTGAACGGCATCTCGGCGTCGCCCAGGGCTTCGACCACGGCAAGGCCGATCAGCACCCCGAGCACGCCGTCGTAGCGGCCGCCGCCGGGGACCGTGTCGAGGTGCGAGCCAACGAGCAGCGTCTGCTTGGCGCCGGGAGACTCGCGCCGCCCAATCAGATTGCCGGCATTATCCAGGCAGACCGACATGCCGACGGACCCCATCCACTCGCGCAGCAGGTCGTGGACACATTGCATCGGCGGCGTCAGAAACCTCCGGGTGAGACACTCGGGCGATTCGGAGCATGCCGCCAACTCGTCGCAGCGCGTCATGACGCGGTCGGCGAGCGAGAGCGGCGTGGGCAGAGCGGTGAGGGGCACGGCGATAAAGCGTTCGGTAGGAATTGACCCTTGCCGGGGTGGGGCCTATCGTGCGGCAAGGCGGTGGGCGGCAGGTCCTTACTCTACACAGCGGCGCTCTGGTTGCAGAGTGCAACCGCCATGCGTGACAGCCTCATTTTTTATGTGAACGGCGCCCGGCACGAGGTGCAGGGCCCGGCGGCCGGCCTGACCCTCAGTGACTATCTTCGGGGAGGAGAATGGCTGCGAGGAGGCTGCGGATCGCTGCAGGGCGACCGGCTCTGTGGCACGAAGATCGCCTGCGCCGAGGGGGACTGCGGGGCCTGCACGGTCT